TGCCGCACCCTGTAAAATTATATCTTTATTTATTTTAGATTTTCTATATTTATCTTCTACCCAAAAATATTTTTCTTTCAAAACATTTGTATATATTTTATTTATTTTTTATCTAATTCTTTAGACTATTTTAGGTCTTCTTTTAGATTATTTTAAAAGTTCAAAATTCCAATATGTAAAAATTCTATTTTTTAAATCCCTGCCCAACGGGTATTTTAAAATGTCAACAAATTTTTTGGGGTTTTCATTTTTTTATTTTTAAATTTGCCTTATTTTAAAATTTGTATAGAGATATTGAATTTTTCTTTGGATAAAATATTCAAATTTTTTTAACTAAAATTTTATTTATAGTAGTTAAACCCTGATAATATGACATTCCCTCACATTCCCTTCGGATGCAATAATACCAAAAGACGTAATACCAACCCTCGGAAACCGCCGAAATGCCAAACTGTAGGAAATCTTATATTGAATTTTCTTTGATTTCAAAATTGGGTTAATATTTTTTTAACCAGGGGTAGGACTTTTTCTGACCCGCCCCATGTCTAGTCTGAAAAAACCAAACCCTCGAAAGCCGCCGAAATAAAGAGGCTGATGCGAAGAGTCGTTTGGCATTACGGCGCGTTACACTTTCCTTCACACCTCGGCCCATTTCATTCCCAAGGGTGATTTATTAAGAGAAATTCGACTGTGTAAAAATTATTTAAAAAACCTGTCAATTATTTATTGAAATAAACAAAATAAAAACAATTAGGTATTTTTAATTTCTAATGTGTAGCTGTCGAAGAATTTTGGCTTTGTTTTAATTTACGCGCTTCCGCCAATTTCTTTTTTCGTTCAGCCATTACTTTTCGACGTCTTTTTGTAAGGTCAGCTTTCACATAAATAAAACCTATAACGCCCAAAGCCATAGCTACCAAAATAAATTTGATTAGCTAAAAAATAAAAATATAATGGAGGTTTTGAAATTTTAAAGTCCGCCAAAATTAATAATAAAATAACTGACGGTTCCAAGTGCTTGGATTCAGAAAAGAGATGGGACGGGTCGATAAAAGGCCCTATCCCAAGTTCAGAAAAAAATGTTAAGGAATCCAATTTTGAAACCCTCAAAGTCCAAAACACAAATTTATGGGCCCCATGCGTCAACTCATTCTATAAGGGGCATAAACTGAACAAGAGCTGAAGAAAATTTCCCCTTGTTTAACTTTGGAAAAAATAAAATCATTTTTAAGTCAGAAACCCCCCCCCCCCTTCTTTAAAAGAAAAATTATTTAAAATGGGGCATAAACTGAATAAGAGCCGTAGAAAGTTTCCATGATCATTTTGAAAAAAAATAATTTTTAAGTCAGAAAACCCCTCTTTTTTGAAATACTAATTATTCTATTTAAAATAACCTTCCACATTTCTTTATCAACTTCATACAATTCCCTATATTCTCCAGCATATAAAAATGTATTTTTCCCACCAGCAATTTTCTCCTTAATTTTTAAAATATTTTTAAAAATTATTAAAAATACAAAAACCTCATCATACATAATTCCTTTAGCCCTTCTTTCCGCCCTTTCTTCATCCTCCCTCGCTTTTTTTGACATTCTTCTTTCTTCAAGTAATGCCATTCCTTCTATAGCATCATCCCCAACTTTGGCCAAATCTATATAACGAAAAGTCCTTCCTTTTGTGTAATAACTATTTGAATATTTTGAAAAAACAATTAATTTGGGAATTCTTTGACAAAAACCAAATTTTGTAGTTATTAAATTCATCTTTAAATAAAAATTTGATTTTTAATAAATTTGATTAAATTTAAGAGAATTAATAAAAAATTTATATATGGAAAATAACATTTATAGATAATAAATTCACTGTTTATTTAATATTTTTATATAAAAATCTGTAACTGTGCACATATATTTAAAAATAGAAATGTGGAATAAATATATTAGATAGAAAATAATTAATTGTTGGATCTATCAGATACACCTTCGAGACAGAAAAGATTCCGAGTTCTTGGTCTAAAATTGAAAGTAGCCCAACCATATGCTCGGGTTGTGTCAGCTTAATGATTTTAATTTGGAAAAAAATAAAGTTGGACACTATTGTAAATACCTGCAGAATTCATTGCATTAGACTCTTGAAGCTAAAACAATCATTAGGGTTGGGGGCCCGGTCCGAAAGATCGAGTCGGACCTCGAATTTTGGCCCGAAAAAGACTCGGTCGGGCCGGCCCGATAAAAATAACTCGAACGTCGGCCCGACTCGAAAACCCCAACCCTAATAATCATATCATATAATGAGGTGTAACTTAAATATGGGACATCGCCTAGAAAGCTCCCCAGTCAACCAAATTAAAAACATATCTTAAATGGGGGCATAAATAATATTTGATGTATCTAAAGATGAAGTTAGATTGTTATTTAATAATTATAGAATATATTAAAATTCAAAATATACAAAAATAAACTTAATATTTAATTAACTTTTTAATTGCTTCTAAACATCTCCATTTTGTTGGAAGATAGAAAGGTTCATAAACATGAGGAAAAGGAGTGTCCCAACCACAAATTCTTTCAATTGGTGCTTCAAGATTAAGAAAACATTCTTTTTGGATAGTTGCTGCCATTTCTGCCCCAAATCCACAAGTTTTTGGAGCCTCGTGAGAAATTAGTAAATGACCGGTTTTTGTTACACTCTTGAAAATTAACAAAAATTTTTCAAAAAATATTAAAAAAAACCTTTGCAACGGTTTCAACATCCCAAGGAATTATTGTCTGAAGATCAATAACTTCACATAAAATACCCAATTCTTTTTCTGCCAAATCAGCAGTTTCCATAAGTACGTGAAGTTGAGTACCCCAACCAACAAGGGTTACGTCTTTACCTAAAAATATTTTTTTCTAATATTTCAAAGTATTAAGAAAACCTTCTCTAACAATCTCAGCTTTCCCCAAAGGCAAAATATATTTTCCAGCAGGAACATCTTCAACTGCATTTCTAAAAATTAGTTTGAAATAAATTTAAATTAAACAAAAAACCTGTAAAGAATTTTTGGTTCGAAAAAGATACAAGGATCTGGATCTTCAATACAAGAAAGAAGAAGTCCTTTTGCCTGAGAAGGTCCTCTAGGAATTACAATCTAAAGAAAATTTTTTAATTAAAAAAATTTTTAATGTTTGAAAGTTGTACTAATGCTAATCTTTTTAAAAAACAAATCAACATTTAAGCTATCAATCATTTTATCTATGCCATTTATTTAGCTACAATTCGATTATCATTTTACGAATTATAGTAAAAAAATAAAACAAAAATGGCTAATTTTTAAACTAATTTAGGCGTTTTTGAGCCTCCGTTTTCTCTTCTATGTATCAATATCACTTATTTTATTTAAAAAGGGCACTCCTGCCGTTTGTCGGGGCCGCCCTCTTAGAATTATAAGACTATGTATATTTTCATTTTTCTATGTCCGAAGTCACCAGATTTAATTAGCTTAAGGGAATCCTACCAACCCATTACCTATTTTCTAAATTAAAATAAATAAAAGTTACTTTTAAACCAGGTGTATGACTAAAATAAGCTTCAGGTGATTGAGAATGGTATAGTGCCCCATGTCCAACAGCACCCCAAGTTGCTCGAATTGTTAATTTTCCACAGTTAAATTGATTCCCACTTCGGTAACGATATTTTGCTGCTTCATTTACAATCTTTTAAAAAGGAAAAAATACTCACAAAAATTATTTGGAGCTTAATAATGTACTACATAAAATCAACTCCAGTTCTCTAAATATATTCTCAAGAAATTCCTTCAGTGATAAAATAAAAAATCGTGCCCCTGCACAAATCTCTAATTTTAATATTAATCTGAAATTCTTGAGACTATGGAAGTCAGAACTCATGACTTTAGTGAACTAAAGTGACCAGGAAAAATCCTGCGAAATGCCTCAGGGATTTCCTTTTTAAAACTATGGAAACCATAATTCATGAATTTCTTCAACCAAAATGACCGCAGAAAATCCTGCAAAATCCCTACTGGATTTCCTAACCCCCTACAAACAACATATGAAAAACTAACTTAACAAGTAACATTATAAATTAATTTTAAAAATATATACTTGATCAAAAGCCGGGAATATATAATCAGCAAATTGTATTTCTGCAATAGCATTACTACCAGTAACAGCTAATCCAATTCCAAATCCAACAATTCCTTGTTCACATAATGGAGTATTAAACACCCTTTCTTTGCCTAAAATTATCTTTTAATTTAAAAAACCTTCCAATAATTTTTCACCAAATTTATTTTGCAATCCAACAGAGCATCGAAAAACACCCCCAAAAGCAACATCTTCACCTTAAAACATAAAATTTATTTTGAAAATTTTAAAATTAAAACTTACCGAAGCAAACAGAATTTGGATCTTCTTCCAAAGCAATATTTAAAGCTGAATTAATTGCTTGACATAAATTTATTTTTTCTTTATTTTCTTTAAAAAGACAACTAATTTTAATTTTTAAAAATAAATAAACCTTCATTTAAATATTCTGTTGGATAAAAATTAAAATGTGAAGCGAATTTAATTTGTTCAAATAAAAAATTATTTTTAATTATTAATCCTTTAAGTAATTTATTTAAAGTATTCATTTACAAAATTAATTTAACAAATATAAATGCACATGACAACATAAGAAAAATTTTAATTGATCATTTTACCCTTTTAACCAATTAATCCTAAAATTAAGTGTTTCATTGAAATTTCAAAGACAATTTATCTAAACGACATTTTGACAGACAATGTAGGACAATTGGCAAAGTCTGTTAAATAGTACAATTGGTCGAAAAGACAATTAGCGAAAAGGCTAATTGTCGTGTATTGTGCCGGCTATCTAGTTTGGTATTTTTCGCCAACCAAATATAGAGGTATTTAAAAATCAACCTGATTATTTAGATTTATTTATATAAATATTACACAACACACAAAAAGGGATTTCGTACAATAGGTGTGTATTTTTATTTTTTATCACAAGTTTCATCCATTCTTTTGATTCTGACCAAAATCGACTTTCGCTCCTCTGAAGAATTTTGGTTTACATTTCTCGATGTCGACGCTGCTGATGCAAGTTCCACAGATTCCTCATATATACAGCGAAGGTTTACAACATTCTGGCCTACAATATCCTCCTCATTTTCTTCATTCCTTCTCCCAACTCCTCTAATATTTCCGCCCCCTTCCACCCGTCCGATATGGATTCCAAAATGTTGTTGCAGAATTGTAGCAGCCAAATTCTACAAAAAATAAAATTTTTACTTATATAAGATGAGAGTTCCAACTTACAGAAGCAGGATCAACTTCATTTAAAGTTGAGTTGTTGAACGCAATTTTAGCAATTTGCTCTACCAAGCCAACGCGTCGGAACAATGCAATAGTGTATAAACGATTTCGGGATCTGTCTTGGAGTGAATGCTGCATTGTGTTCTTTAAACAAAAAGGGTGTTTTTTAAAGTAAATAATCGAAAAAACTAACCAAAGTACGCTCAAGCAATGCCGCGTCCAAATTTTCTTCAAGCAGCTGCACTAGAATTTGTGCAAGACCTCCACTCATCAAATATTCATAAAGAGACGGCGGCGCTCCCATCATCGCATTCACAACAACCCAATAGGCTTCCTTTAATTTAAAGAATTATTTCACTTAAAGACTTGAAACCAACTTTTCGCTTTCTTGGACTTTGATCGTAGGCAAGTTGAAAAACGCTTTGTGCCATTCCATCGACTGAGAAAAGGCGAGTGACATGTTCTGAAGTGCCCGCAGCGATGTTGCTGAGGATCCAAAGGCATTCTCGCGAAATTTGATGGACGTTGGAGTTGACTAGATCACTCTTAAAGATAAGAAAATTAATCAAAAAAACATTTTTGATTACCAAATCTTCCAGGACGCCAAGGTCAAGAATTGCAGTGGTTTGCTCATCTGTTCCGGTGATGATGTTTCCAACAGTGCGAAGAGCCCCAGTGAGCGCACGAAGAGAATCCGACTTGAGTAGATTGACAATACTTGCAGCTAGGCCTGGTTGAGCAAACAACAGATCGATCTGCAAAAGAAAAGGTAATTAGAGGGAATTAGTCGTTCAAAAAAGAGAATTTACTAAACTCTTTCTCCTTCAATTGTTGCGTGGTCGATGAGATATGCAATACACCAAACAGCATCACAGAGAATTTCGCCTGTATCGTAGAGGGATAGAGTCACATGAAGTGAAGAGAGAAGCCGGCCGACACTCTGAAAAGGAATGAAAAAGTCTCGTTTTTAAACAAAAACCAATCAAACTCACATCAATCTCAATGTCATTCATTCCACCACGAAGCAAATTAGCCAAGCACCAAATAACAATTTTGCGAGGATCGTGAGCCTGATAGTCTGGCATTTCCAGCATTACAATTAATAAGGCCAAAAGTCCCGAAGCTCGCACTTGTTGTCGACACGAGGCACAATCTGCTGCCAAATTTCCTAGCGCCCAAATAGCTTGATCCCGAATTTCTCCCACTGTCGTCGACGCAACGTGAACAAGCGCATCAATACCCCCACTGGCAATGATCCTATGCGTTTCTTGACGAGAGCCACAAGCCAAATTTGTCAGAGCCCAAGAAGCGTTCAACTGAAGTTCGTTTGAAGGACGACGGAGGCAGTTAATAAGCTCGAGGATCTGAAAAGTTGGAAGGATTAAAACTCGTTAATGCTTTATCGCAAACTCACAATTGTTTCAACCAACTCTTCAGGAGGCTCCTGGCACGCTGCGAGTTTTTTTCTGAAGTAGAGAGAAGCAGCAACCTTAAAATGAATGAAAGGAATGAAACAAAAAGAAGCGTCGAAGTACCTGTGATTCCTTAGACCGAGTTGAAAGTAGAAGATCGAGAAAAGTGGCGCATTCCTTTGCACAAAAGAGTGGAGTCTTCTTCAGCATTGACATCTCTTCTTGTGAAAACCAGAAACGCCGGTTATCCGCTGAATGTTTGTGCTACGAGACGATGGTATGCGAAAACAGTAACATTCTAGTAACGCTTTTATAGTAAAAAGTAGGAAACGTTCATCTTACTTATTGTGTCATCTATGAGTTCAGTAAAGTTGAAAGGAACAGAGTTTCATAATAGCGGAGTGGCGCAATAAGTTCAAGAATGTTGGCGAACTGTTAGGACATTCAACAAGAAGCTCTAATGGATCAAGTTCCTCCTCAGACTTGAAAAATAATTCTCATGATTCTAATTTTCTTCTCATGTCAAAAAATAATGAAATCTAAAAGGAGATCTTAGACTACAAAATAATTTATAAAAAGTGTAGTGTGTGCGTTTGTTCCTTTGTGTGTACTTGACAGTGTTATTGTTTCAGTTCTTGAATCACTCTCTAAAAATCTCGAGCTTGCAATATTTTGAGGTTTTTTAAATTTTTCGATCGAGAGTCTCGAATCGATAATCTTGAAAAACCTCCCAATAAAAATATACATACACCCATGTTCTCTTGAAAAGAAAAATGTAAAGTTTATGACCCGACCTGATATTTTTCCTTTTCACTTTTAATATGACCTTTCTCTCTCTCTCATAAATATACTAAAAATAGTAGAGAGGTCCATTGTTAAAGTATACTCATCAAATTAGAAGAATATTTCCATAAAAATATTAAAAAATATTTTCATCCAAAATTTTGTTTAATTTTAATGCCTTCTATAATTCGTCATTGGTCTCCAACTAAATCTACTAATAATTTTGATAATTATATTAATTTTGGCCAAATTCGAAAATTATATAGCCCTATTAATTTTCAAATAATTAATGAAGAATATTTTAAAAGGTTAAAATATTTAAAAATTATAAAAAAATTTTTTTCAAGTTTTCATTCTTCACGAACAATTTCGTTGGATTTTGAGTCAGAATCAACATCTAATAATTCTTTATTTTTAGAACAAAACAAATTGGTAATTAATTTTTATTAAATTAATATAGGACATTATCACAAGAGACATTATTGAAGGGAAATAATCGTCTCTTATAATGAGTGTGCTAGAGATCGAGCTGGATCTGGATCCAGACCTTGATTTTTCCTGGATCCAGAGTCCATATCAATGCCTTTTTCAACATTCCTTGATTTTTCCTTGACTTGAGGATCTTGATCTGATCAATGTCCTCACCTAAAATCATGATCAAGGTCAAGGTTTTCAGAAAATCTCGATCTCATATAGTGAGTGTACCTTAAATTGGGGGATATCATCTAGTTCCTACCACTCAATTGTCAACCAAATTTAAAAATGAATAGTAAATGGAGATGTATCTAATATTGGGTGTATATTAAGAAAGTTTCAACTAACTAATTTTTTTAAATTTTATTAAGCAAACTACTAGCACATTTACTAATTAATAGTAAACCTTTATTAAGACTAAATAAAAGCTCATTTGTTTAATTATTTACTACTTTTCATTAAAAAATAATATAGTATAATAAAAGATATAATATAAAGATAAAAAGAGCAGAAAATGTGACCTTCATTTTTCGAGAGGCCTTGGCACGATGTGGTTTTTTTGTCATAAATATTATTATTACTCTTATTATTTAAAATATTTTCTCTTTCTGTAAAATACTTTTTATTATTCGGAAATTTTTTGGGCAATTTATATTAATATAATGTGCCATTTTAAGAGCGGAAATTTAAAAATAAGTTTTTATTTTAACGTTGTAAGTGCCTAAATGGGTTCAAAAAATTTGAGGTTTATATTTCGATTTAACTCCAAATTTTTTTAATTTACATAATTTGAATTTTTTATTAAAAAACAGCTTTAGTCATATAGATTGCTTTTTTTCACTATATGTAGTCGAACCTAATTATAAGAAATTCCCTATAAAGTCAAAGTTTCTAAAGATAAAATAAGATTATTTGGAAGCGAGATGGTTCGAACCCCCACCCTATATGCCTGAGTTTAAAAGTTTAACTTCAGAAAATTTTTTAAAATTTTTAATTAATAAAATCAATCCATTATTTTCAATATATTTTCAATTAAAATTCATTTAAAATTCTTTTTTTTTTAAATTATCTTTCTCATTAAAATAATTTTTTCCAAATAAAAAAATTTATTTTCGCGCCCTCATTTCCACACTTTTTGCTTCAATTTATTTATTATTTAGAGATGACTTCCAACTGTCAAAATCCTTCACACATTTATTCTTTCTTTTTAAAAAGAAAACGGCGCCAAATCTTTAATAAAATCTCCCATCTTTTTTTAAATTTATAAAATTATTTTCTTAATTTTTACTTTATTTTTAATTAAAACTTTAAAGAATTGATTTTCTAATATTTCTGAAGAACTCCCCAGCTAGCTCTTAAAACTAGAAACACTGATAAAATACTCTTGCGCCTTTAAAACTAAAATAAAAGTTTCCAAAGATAAAATAAAATTATTTGGAGGCAAGCGGGTTCGAACCCACACCCTATATGCTTGAAATCTGAAAATTATCCAACTACACTAGAAAGGACAAAGTGCTCTTTTAGGCATGTTTTGATGCTTTTTTCAAGATTAATTATAACATAATATTTTTTAAACAATTTCCTTTCCCAATAAAATTTTCTGAAATTAAAATATTAATTCTTATTAAAATTTTATTTCTTTCTATTTTTCTTAAATTTAATTTTTCCTAATTTTTCTTAAAATTCTAAAAAGGAACAAGAAATTAACCAAAAACTAGTTGGAATAAAAATGAACAATAAAAATGAAAAATCGCCGGAGGGTGAAAAAAGAAGTGAAATTAATATTGTCTCCCAACAAATTGCAGAAAATAATTATTCTGGAATTACTGAAACAACAAAAAATAATAATATTTCACGCGAGTCTTCAGTCACATATTCTACGGTTAGAGGGAAAGAAAATCAAATTTTATGGAAAACCTCTATATAAGATACCCCCAATATTAGCTACACCTCTATTTAAGAGACGTTTTTTAAAATTAGAATATCGGGCGAATAAGATCTACTCTTAGTTTAGGATACTTCTCTATTTAAAATACCCCCACTATAAGAGACGGTTCTTAATGGAAAACCTCTATGTAAGATACCTACCCCCAATATTAGCTACACCTCTATTTAAGAGACGTTTTTTAGAATTAGAATACCTGGGGAACAACGATGTTTGTAATTTAGAATACATCTTCTATTTAAGATACCCCCATTATAAGAGATGATTTTTAATCCTCTCAAGGGGCTTATATTGAGAGTTGATTATATAAATTTAATTTTTAGCGTAATAAATGTAATGGAAACACTATTTTAAATCAAAAACAACACCAAAACAATCCTCAATTAATGGATTCAACACCTTCGGCAGCTACTAATTGTCGTCCCTCAATTGGGCCCTCGCCTTTAGTCTTCTCAGGAGAAAGTCAATTTGATACAAGATCTTTACAAACTAATAGAAGGTAGGGAATTATTTATTTATTCAAAAATTAAAATATACAACGAAAGGGAATCCACTAACATCGTTGTCGGATAAATTTAAATAAAGTTTAAGTCAAAAAAACAAAAAGTCATAAATGGGAGGTCAAAGGATATGCATAAAAACAAAACATAAATTGTAAATAATAAAAAATAAATAAAAAAACATATTGTGATAGGTCTTTCCAACTGTAAAATAATAGAAAAAATTGGTATGTGTTTAATAGTAAAAAATAATAATAATTTGTAAAAGTAATAATTTTTTTCTAATTATTTGACAGTTAGAATTTAGTATAAAAAAATTAACTATATTGAGTATTGGGGAAGCCACACATGTATAGATAGTGTAGTAAGCATAAAATTTAATTTAAGTTATTAGATTTTTATGTAGAAATTTTTTATGTAAATGTTTTTTTTGGGGAAATTACCATATTTTTTTTCTATTTTTTTTATATTTCGTTTATAAATAGCTGAGTAATTCTGTGTTTAAAGGACAATATTGAGTGGGAGTTTAATGTAACTTTATCTAGAGTATTCCATAGTGAAGAGCTTCTATTAACAAAGGAATGAGCGTTTTTTGAGGATCTGCATTTAAACATAAGTCTATTAAATTGTTTATTAGATGGATGAGTAGAAAATCGGTATAGGTTAGTAGGATCTAAATGGGTAAAACCCTTGATAATTTTAAATGCCGTTACAAGGTCATAAATTTTTCTGCGAGTGTTAAGGGATTGTAATCCAAAAAGCTTAAGTCTTTCAGGATAAGGAATTTTCGGTAACATACATTTTTTTAGAGCAATAGAAGTAAAGAATTTTTGACATTTTTCAATTTGAAGTACATCTTTTTTAAAATGTGGATTCCAAATTTCTGGAGCATATTCAAGTATAGGTCTAATATAAGATTTATAGACTAAGGTCCAAGTTCTAATGGATCTTGATCTAATGGTTTTAAATAGAACTTTCATACGATAATAAGCTGTTCGAACAATAGTGTCAAAGTGTTTGTGGAAGGATAATTTATTATCGATAATAATTCCTAAATCTCTTATAGAATCTAAACCTTTAATAATAGTATCTTCAATTTTATACTGGTGCATTTGATTATTTCTACCAAGATAGAGAGCATAAGATTTATCTGAGGAAATACTAATACCCCATTGGCCGCACCAAAGTTCAATATTGGAGATTGTATCAGATAGTATATTACATTGACTTATTGAGTCATGAATCAAATATATCTTAATATCATCAGCAAATAGTTTTACAGATATGCCTTTTGGAATAATATCAGGAAGATCATTTATATAGATGAGAAATAATAAGGGTCCAAGGACAGAGCCTTGTGGTACACCAAAAGAAGCATTATAATAAGATGAAAAACTATCGTTAATTTTTACACGATATTTTCTATCTGATAGAAATATATCTGATAGAAATCTATCTGATAAAAAAAATATTTTTTTCTTCAGTTAATTAATTTGGATTGACCCAATTTTATATTTGATTAAATATTTGAGATGACCTAATTTTTTTTAAAAGGAAAGCAAAATACCTATTTGGAATAAATTTTTTTGTTAAAAAAATAATTAATTACTATAGAAAAAATTAAGAAAAAAATATTTTCAGACATCTCTTATAGACGGGCTGGATCCATTTCCGCGTTCTGACTTCCGTAGAATTCCGTCTTTTATTTAGCCTTCCGCTTCCGTCTTTTGCTTTTGTGCTTGCTCTCTTCCACAAAAATACACCTCTAATGACGCCATTATTTTTGAAGAAATTTATTTTTAGTCCGACGTTAAAAATTGAAGAAGTCTGGCCTCTTGGGCTTCCAGCCCTGTTATAGACCTTGGGCTGAAAGACTTAATTTTAAACTGAAGGTATCCTAAATTGGGAGTATAGATTAGGTAGATCCCCCACCTATTGGCTACCCAGAATTTTAAGAAAACGAGTCTTAAATGGAGGTGGGAAACCTCAGTTTATAATAAAGTTAAACCCTTAAAAAAACATTTTTTGGCTCTTGTTCAGTTTATGCGTCCCATGAAAGTATATGCGTCCCATCAACAAAAAATTGGATTTTTCTTGGTGTTGCAAAGTAGGGGTATGGTTCCAAAGCATTTCTTCATGTTCGGGATCTACGTCCACTGGGTCTGGGACCGTTCCTTACCCTATCCTTCGAAATTTCTGAAAGTTAAAATCGTTTTTCTGAAATTTTTAAAAATTGGCTATAACTTTCAGAAATTTCGAGGGATAGGGTAAGGAACGGTCCCAGGCCCAGTGGACGTAGATCCCGAACATGAAGAAATGCTTTGGAACCATACCCCTACTTTGCAACACCAAGAAATATCCAATTTTTTGTTGATGGGACGCATATACTTTCATGGGACGCATAAACTGGACAAGAGCCCATTTTTTAAGGTCCCTTTCATTTTCCGCCCACCACCACCACAACCAACAATTAATTAATAATTTAAATAATACACCAAATTCCGAACAAAGTTATACTAATCAACGTCAACAACCTTTATATTTTGGAAGTTGTAGTAATTTAAGTTTAATTGGAAATAATCAACAACAACAATTAGTTATTTTTGATGGACAACAACAACCAACATTACAAAATAGACATTCGATGATTCTACCGTCTGAAGCAGCTGCTTTACAGGTAAAAAATAGAAAGAAAATTGGTTGTTCTCTCAAGAATTTTTGGAAACCTTTCTTCTTTCAGACAAATTATATCTCGAATAAGTGAGGGACGCTTTCTTACTTCTAGCTTCAAAACTAATTTAAAAATCGAATATTAAACGAGATGAATACTCGAATTGTAGTCGAACGAGAAGATATTTAAATATACTTTAAAGATGACTACCCCTTCTCAACCCATTTTTACATTAGAAAAACTCGATTTTAACTGTGTTCATACGCGATAGTTTTACCCAGAATTTTGGATCTAATTAAAAGGATGCCTAGTGGTAAACCCACAGTTTATAATCGATAAACGAAAAGTTCTATTTTAAAAAACTCTCAAACAACTTTACCAAATACATAACAATACAATATTATTGGTACATTATATAGGGAAGAAATATACACAATTTACGATTATATATTTTGGGTGGTCCTATTCTTCACATCAGCATCATCCTTCTTTGCTGTGTGTTCATCTATATCCATTGTCCCGCAGCCATACTCATCCAGCAGCCATAGGAACGTCGACCTTGAACTCGCCAGAAGATCCAGGAGGGAAGATGGCCTTGGCGTCCCCCACATCCATGGGGACCCGCCGGAAGCAGATCGCGAGCTTGTCGTCGACTTTTGGAGGTCCGTTCTGGCGGATCACTTTGACTTGGGCAGCGGCACCGGGGTCGACGAAGCCGTACACAGAGCTGACGCGGTAGTAGTTGTTGTTGCTGGTCTTGAGCTTGAAGGCGAAGCGGACCTTTAAAAACGAAAAAAGAAAATTTTCTCTGATTAGGATTATTTAATAAAAAAATTTTTTTACCTCAGGGTTGCCGTTCATCAGATGAAGCGAGACGCTGCCTCCCGAAGCTGGGACCTGGATAGCCGCAGGCTTCACTTGGACCTCGCTCGGCGGTCCAAAATAAACCTCCTGCTCGAAGGGCCAAACGGCAGCCACAGGAACGTCGACCTTGAACTCGCCAGAAGATCCAGGAGGGAAGACGGCCTTGGCAGCAGCAGTGTCCAGCGTAGCCTCGGCGAAGCAGATTTGGAGGGCCGGGATAGCGGAACACTTCGACTTCTGCAGCGGCGCCGGGCTCCACGAATCCGAAGACGGGGTTGACTCGGTAGTAGTTGTTGTTGCTGGTCCTCAGCTTGAAGTCGAAGCGGACCTATAAAGAACGAAAAAAGGGGATTTTGTGTGATTAGGATTATTTTAGAAAAGGAAATTTACCTCAGTCCCAGGAGGGAAGATGGCCTTGGCGTCCCCCACATCCATGGGGACCAGCTTGAAGCAGATGTCGAGCTTTTCTTTTCGCCCCCGGGCGGCCCACTGAGTCGAAAAACTTCGACGTGGGCAGCGGCACCGGGCTCCACGAATCCGAAGACGGGGTTGACTCGGTAGTAATCGTTGCTGCTGGACCTTTAAAAAAAGAGGAAATTTGTTTTTAATTAAAAGAATGAAAGAGGACAAAGATTAAGTACCGTAGGTTGCCGTTCAACGGCCGTCTTGGACCGCCATTGTTGTTGTGAAGATTGGTTGTTGTTGTTGTGAAGTTGATTGTGAGTTAGTGATTCGGAAATTAGTCGACTTTTATAATAAAAATAAAATTACTGAAAATTTTAATAAGAAAGGACAATACAAAAACATTTTCGCAAGTTTTTCTAGCGAGTTCACATAAAAATTATGTTCTAATCTTTTTTATAGTAAATTGTAAATTTTTCCTCTATATAATATTTCTCTAAATATATAGTTTTTTGAAATCGAAATTTTCGTTTTTCGATTATAAAATGGGAGATTTATCACCACTAGGCATCTCTCCAATTAAATCCGAAATTCTAGGTAAGGCTATAGTTTATGAACACAGTTGAAGTCGTGTTTTTCTATGTAAAAATGGGAGGTTGTGAAGGTGTTGTTATCTTTGAAATATATTTAAACATTTTCAACACGTTCTTATCTCGTCTGTATACAACTCGAGTATTCATCTCGTTTATAAGTATACTCGATTTTTAAATTAGCTTTAACGCTATTAAATCTGGAAATAGAGGGATACATAAGTGAGACATCAAATTTAGAAATTGAAGGTATACCAAGTTAGTGTGAACAAGATTTGATTATAATACGAAGACATTTAAATATTTTTTTAAAGATGACAACACCTTCACAACCTATTTGGTATAATCCAATAGCTCCTCCACCACCGCCACCTTTTTATTATACAGCAACAAATAATCAACAAAACTCAAATAATTATTTTCCACAAATGCTAGACTTTAAATCATTCAAACAAGCAGTTAAAGTAAATATTTTAATTTTATAAAAAATCAGAATTTATTTTTAAAAAAAATATTAAAGGAATCAGAACGTTTTGAAAAGAAACAACAAAAACTTTTATTAGCCCAAATGGGTGAGGACAGAATTGGGGATACTTGTTGTGAATTTTGTTGTGGTGGTTCTGCATTAATTCTTTGGCTAGTAATTTCTTTAGTTTCTTTAGGGTTTCTTGGATTTTTATTGATGGTTATTTATTTTATTTGATATTTTTTATGTAAAATTTGAATTCATAATTATATTTTTTTTTCAGTTAAAATTTTTTAATCAAATCTTTTAAATTTAAAAATTTATATGTAAAGTCAGGGCCTCACTTATGGACATACCCAATATTTTAATACTACTCACTTTAGGATACGTTTTTCACAAGTTAGTTGGGCATTGGTTGGTTTATTTGCCTAATCGTCCCAATTTAATATAAACCCCATTTAGTAAAGCAGCTAGGCTATAGCTATTTCTCTCCTTTAGTTAGTGCAAAAGGTTATTCTGCGGCTGGGAGCGAACCAGCATCTTCAGTAGACCGGACTGATGTGTTAGCCATTACACTACGCAGCCTACTGCATAGCCTGGAGAATTAAATGCTGCTCTACAATTTTTACAACCCCTTCCCGCCCTCTATAAGTGAACTCTAATAAGTAAAATATTTTCAAAAATATTTAAAACAAAATTTATTTAAGCATCATTCCCAGAAACATTCTTAACATAGATAACTGTACCCTCTTTAAATATATCACAATAATCAATAAATTTATTTCTTGCCTCGGGAACTTCTTTTTTCCCCTTTCCATCATCCGTGTAAAATACAAAATAATCAAAATTATCTTTATTGAGATGATGAATTTTTAATTTATTTTCAACAGGAAATTCATTTAAATTTAAAGAAGTTTTGCCATAAGAAGAAAAGTAAACTTTAAAATCTGCATCAAAATTGGAATCCTAAAAATAGTATTTTTTATAAATATGTATATAAATTAGGTAACTTATTTATATAGAATATATACGGTACTAAATCAGTTTTATTACGATTTCGGGGGGGGGTGGGGTGGGGACTAACATTGGGTGTGTTTTTTTGAAAGTATGTACTTTTTTAAATCAATTTTTTGATTGTAAATGAAATTGGGGAAGCGATTTGGCAAAAAATGAAATTTTTGATCTACGGCCATCTAAAATTCTCAAAATTTTCGCCTGCGGCGCAAAAAATGGATTTTCTGGTGCCATCGGCGCCACAAAAAAGTGCATTGTAATGCACAAAATTGGAGTGTACTTTAATTTGGAGTGTACTTTTTATTTGCAAATTTTCTCCCTATGTACTTTTTTAATCAAGATTTTTGTATTTCTGATTGCCATTTTGTCGATGCGAGCCCTGGTCTAAAAAAATTTTACCTCAACAGCCCTTTTCTTGATATTATCCAAAAAATTGTAAACACTATCATTTGACCATCCAAGCAAATTAATTGATTTAACTATTTTTGGTTCACCAAACAGCCAATTTATTAAAGGTTTATAATCAGAATCTTTAAAATTCTGAATAGATAAACGTTCACAATTTAAAACATATTTTGAAAAGAGAAAATCAGAATTGGGCAAATTAATTTTATCTAGCGTAAGTTTGAGGCATCTGAAAAGGAAAATAATTACAGTTGGATGGGACCACCATCGAATCAGGGATGGGACGGGTTGAGAAAAAGTCGGGTCATTTAGAATCAAAGGGTCCGGATTTCGAGTAACCCGTAGTGTCGAAGTTGGTTTTTATTAGGGAAACATTCCAAAACTATTTCGAAATGGGAGGAATATTTAGAGGTTTTCTACCAACTTTGATATCGTCACACTTTTTTCTAAATTGTTTTCGAATTGTGGTTTGGGCCCTAACTAAAACCCAACTTTGACCTGCAGATTAGAACTATCTCAAATTAGGTGTATCTGTTAATCGGTTAACCGCTGGGTTAAAAAAACAAAAAACAACAAATAACTTACTTTTCGGGAAGTACATTAAAGAAATCATCCAAAGAAGTGTTTAAACTTTTTAATTCCAACATAAAATCATTAACTTTGTCAAATTCAATTCGACAACAAATTATAGCTTTTTTAATTCTATTTAAAAACAAAACAAGTTCTTTTGTTATTCGGCCAGAAATAATAATCCTTTTAATTCTAATAAACGATGGGGGATCACATTCTGGAAGAGAACGCTAAAAATTGAAAAAATACATATAGTAAAGCAGCTGGGCTATAGCTACAGTGTGACAAGAAAGTTCGGAGTGAAGTATTTATTTACATAACTTCGATCAAAAATATTCTACGGATTTAAAATAAATATGATAAAATAGAGAACTAAATAGGGAATAAATTTTAATAGATGTTCAAAAGATTCCACCCCAAAAGATTCCACCCTTCTGCGTTGATACAGGGTCGAACGCGTGTGTTAAGATTTTCGATTCAAACTTGCACCTCTTTTTGTGGTTGAAGATTTATAACTTGGGAACGGATTGTGTTATTGATTTTAATTTTTGAGGGAAGCTAGAGGGGTCTCTGATCTTCAAAACTTATAAAATAAAAAAATTTTAAACTAAGAAATTAGAGAGATATTTATTTACAAATAACCCACTCTAAACAAAAAAAAAATTCGTTTACCCCCAAAACCAAATTACAACTACTCACAGCCCTTAATGTAAGAGTTAATGTAAGTTTCATATTTAAAATTCACCATGGTCGCTAATAAGCTAAATTAAATTCTTTTGAAATTACGCAAATCGGACTCCTCAGCGTTGAGATACTGAAAGTAAATTTTTGGTGTGCCTTACGGTCATGGCTATATAACTTTTATTATATCGAACAATATATTGCTTAATTTTGTGAATGGGCTACAAAATGAGTATAAAATTATTTTAAAATATTAAGTCTACAGAAAATTATGGTAAATAAATACTCCACTCCGAACTTTTTTGTCACCCTGTATTTCTCTCCTTTAGTTAGTGCAAAAGGTTATTCGGCGGCTGGGAGCAAACCAGCATTTCAGTAGACCGGACTAATGTGTTACCCATTACACCACGTCCCCTACTGTATAGCCTTAGGAATTAATTAGCTATCCGCTCTACAATATTTAATGTTCGAATTTAAATTTTTTACCGTTGTTGCTGAGCATAAACACCCGCCATGCTTTGAAGACCATTGTCCTACGTGCTTACCATCCTAAAAAATTTAACAATTAAAATATATAGGAATAAATAAACTTTATAATCAACGAAAAACACAATCCAAGCACGTTCATTTTTCTCAAGAATTTTTGAGGCAATATGGGAAAGCTCATGATTAACAAATCGAATACTTCCATAAAGGGTTTCATATGAAAGATGGTTTAAAATTTTAAAATAAATCTCACAAGGAAGCATTTTCTAAATAAAATAGTAAATAAATTTTAAAAATCAAAAAAATATAAAAAGAACAAAACATCGGGTACAGGGAACAAAAATTTTAAAAAAAAATCAGTCAAGTCAAATACATAAAATTTTTATCAGAAATAAAAATCATCAGTCTTCATCTCACTTATTAAAACCTCATTTAAAATATTTTCAAAAAATTTCAAAAAAAAATTATTTAAGAATCCCATCCAAAATTAATTTTAATATCAATAATTGTAGCATATTTTGAGATATCATCACTACTATAACCATTAAATCCCTTTTTTGCTTCAAAAACTTCTTTTTTCCCCGTTCCATTGTCAGAATTGTCCGTGTAAAATACAAAATTATTCTCAGAAAAATAATGAATTTTTAATTTATTTTCGACAGAAAATTCATTCAAATTTAGAAAAGTATTGCCATGAGAACAAAAGTAAATAATGAAATTTGCATCAAAATTGGTATCCTAAAATTTTTAGAATACAGTCAGATCCTCATTATTAAATAATCTTAGAATTAGATAGGTTTCAATATGCTTTTCCGTTATACGCCCGCAAATTCGTTGTCTCGACGGGCTAAGACGTTGGTACCGCGCTTTATGATCGTCCCCGAAAATTGAAAAACTATCTAGGGTGGGGGCGCTAATCTCAATTATATGTCAAAAATATACTAATTCATGCGAAACTGAGCTTCACTTTCGTATTGATGTCATGGGTGGAATATATGTCTAGTCGATATTCGCTATTTTAGAACATCTATATCCTATAGTGAGATCTGACTGTAAAGAAATTGTTCTAAAAAAATTTTACCTCAACAGCCCTTTTCTTGATATTATCCAAAAAATTGTAAACAATATCATTTGACCATCCAAGCAAAATAATTGATTTAACTATTTTTGGTTCACCAAACAGCCAATTTATTAAAGGTTTGTAATTAGAATCTTTAAAATTCTGAATATATAAATCACCGCAATTTAAGACATATTTTGAATAGAGAAACTCAGAATTGAACAAATTAATTTTATCTATCCAGATTTTGTAGCATCTGAAAAGGAAAAAATAATGTCATTATAAAATATACACTTGGGCTAAAAAAATGGTATCAATTTAACAGCACCCATCCAATAGGAATGAGACGGGATGAGAAAATGTCGGTTGATTTGAAAGTTTGAATTGAAAGGCCCGGGTTTGTAACACGTTTATTGATGTTTGCTTGAGGCTGTAACTGAAAAGTATTCTCACCGCTGGGTGAGGAAACTCTAGGTAATAGTTTGGAATTCGCCCCCCCTTTTTTTCCTTTCTATTTTTTCTAAGTTTTTTTCATTTTATGGCAAATTATATATCATTCGAAAGAGCTCTTCAAGCTGAGTCGAATGACGTTAAGATCAACGAAATCCGACTTAAGTGAACAAAGTTGTGACCGTTTACTTTATCCCCTTGCATTGACACAAAAAGTTTGCCCAAACTAGGATTTGGCTTCATAATTTTGGTAAGATTGATCAGATCTGGCCAATCATGGTATCATTCGACCACGCTCGAAGAGCTCTTTCGAATGATATATGATAAATTATGTATCAAACAAAAAAGCTCAAAATGGTCAGGGAAACAGTGAAAAAAAAGGGGGGCGAATTCCAAACTATTACCAAACTCTATAACGAGGGAACATCAGTTACCGAATACAAAAATTTGGTATTGTTTTGGTACCATTCGATAGAGGAATGGAACCTACAATCTTTCAACCCCAAGAGGATATCTAAAAATGAGGTCCAACTGTACTATAAAATAAAAACTCACTTTTCGGGAAAAGCATTAAAGAAATCATCCACAGTAATATTTAAACTTAACAAATCCAATATAAAGTCATCAACTTTGTCAAAATCAATTCGACAACAAATCATAGCCTTTTTAATTCTATTTAAAAACACAATAAGTTCTTTTGTTATTCGACCAAAAATAGTAAGCCTTTGAATTTTAATAAAAGGTGGAGGATCACCTTCTGGAAGAGGTCGCTAAAAAAGGAAAAGAATTTTAAAATAGAAAAAATTTTAATTTTTACCCTTTCTTCTGGGCGCAAATACCTACCACGACTTGGAAACCATTGTGCTACGTGTTTACCATTCTAATAAATTTAAATAATTAAAATTTAAAAAAATAAACAAACACGATAATCAATGTAAAACTTGAGCCATACACGTTCATGCTTCTCAAGAATTTCTGAAGCAATTTGGGAAAACTGGCGATTGACTAAACGAATACTTCCATAAAGGGTTTTGTATGGAAGATAATTAAAAATTTTATAATAAATCTCACAAGGGAACATTTTCTAAATTAAATTAGAAAATAAATTTTAAAAATTAAAAAAAAATATAAAAGAATAAAACATCATTTAGACGATTTAAAAAAAAATAAAAAAATTTATTCTCTCACTTGACACCAACCGGAAAAAAATAAATTAATAAAAGAATTCATAAAAAATTCTATAAAAAATTATAGGAATGTCAAAGTAATAAATAAATTATAAAATTGTTTTAAATTATACTCGTCTTACTCATAAAAATTACCCTTCATTCTCAGTAATATCCTCTTCCTCTCCACTTTCATCATTAATAGAAGATTCATCACTAACAAAATCCTCTTCCTCACTTTTATTAAATTCTTCTTCCCCCTCTTCATTTTCGTCATTATATTTTTTACTTTCTTCCTCCATTTCAATAAAAATTTTAGTAAATCGTTGTTGGTCAACATTTTCATACTCAACTACATTACTTTCAAGCAAAATTTCCTTCCTTCTTTCTTCCCATCCAACTTTTCCAGTGTAAAATACCAAAGAATTTTCATTAAAATAATGAATTTTTAATTTATTTTCAACTTCAAATTTTCTTGGATTGAAAGAAGTATTTTCACCAAGAAAAATATTAAACTTTGAGTCAAAATTTGGAGTCTGAAAAAAAAGAAAAATAATTAAGGGGGTTATGATTATGTTAAAGTGTGTATCGAAGGCGTGTGTCCTCCACTAATTTGTAAGGACTTCCAAGATCGAAATTTTTCCAAGACTCAAGACTCAAGATTAATTTTAAGACTAGACCCCAAAACCAAGACTTGACCCCAAGACTCTAGACCAAACATTAATAAGACTCAAGACTATTTTTAGGTACCATAGGGCAAATTTTTGGCTAATCCTCGTCACTGGTGAAAATTTAAAAATGTTGAGTGGAAACTAACTAAAAAAAAATTTGTAAAAAATTTAGGGCTGCTTGGATATATGAAAATAACTTCCAAAAGATGTTTTTCATTTTTTCCAAAAAATTTTTTATTGCTAGACCCTCTTGAAATTTTTATAGGAAAAAAGCCCATTTTACTTTTTCTAAGAAAATTTTACCTCAACCACTCTTTTCTTGATAGAGTCAAAAAGATTATGAACACAATCATTCGAATATTCATCCAAATGAATTGAACGAGTAATTTTTGGTTCACCAAACAGCCAATCCAATAAAGAATCAGAAATAAAAATAAACTCTTGAATTCTTAAATTATTACAATGCAAAACATATTGAGAAGATAAAAATTTGTCACAACCGGAACTATAAGCTTGATCTATCCACAATCGATAACACCTTTAAAAAATAATACATAATAGTCGAGTCTAATTTTTGGATATCCCCCGTTCATATAGACTATTATTTGGTTAACGTTAAATTAAACTTTAAAATACTCAAAAATTTTCGCATGCAGCGCTAACAATAAGACCCTTCCTTTTGGAAGAGAAATTGAACAAAAATAAAATTTTAATTTTTGTAGCGTACGTATATTTGAAAATTTTTCCACTATGTATTTATAAACTTTTTGCACCTTAACTTAAATTTTTCCTACGAGAGCCCTGGATTAAAATGTATATTTTAAAAAAATTCAAATTACGGTTTCTGAAACGCATCAAGAAAAACATCCATTGAAATATTCGAACGTTCCAGAATCGAATCAAAAACATCCAGATCATCAACATCAATTCTGCAACAACTAATAACTTTCTTCATTCGTTTTAAAAAAGTAACAAGTTCTTCAGTTACTAGGTCACAATAAAAATAAATCCTTTCAACTTTAATGAAAGATGGAGGGTCACATTCAGGAAGAGATCGCTAAAAATAAAAAAATAAAGTCGTGATTTTAATTTAAAAAATTTACATATCCCTGCTTAGAGCTTTCAAAACTTCCATGCCAATCAGCTATATTCTTGCCATCCTATAAAAATTAATTATTTGAAGGTAGAAAAATAATGTTTAAATACAGCCGAACCCATTTGTAGAGTCCCTAGATAGTCCCTTATACTATGATTACAAAAAACCATTAAAAAGTGGATAGTGCATACAACTCGAATTGGGGGATCGCTTAAACAGATTTCCTAAAAACCGGTCAGACAAATAAAAAAAAACTCATCTCAAAGTGAATCTTGTACCGAGGGTATTAAAAGGTACGATTATAATTAACCAACAGATATTCAAAATTCTAACAAAATTTTAAATACAAAAATAAACAAACATGATTATCAATGAACACCAAAATCCATCCAAAGTCATTTTTCTCAATAATTTCCGAGGCAATTTGGGAAAACTGATGATTGACTAAACGAATACTTCCATAAAGGCTTTCGTACGGGAGATATTTTAAAATTCTATAATAAATCTCATACGGAAACATTTTCTAAATTAAATTAGTAAATAAATCCTAATTAAAAAACAAATATTTATAGACCCTGACCTATTCAAAAAAAAAAATTCAAACCTTCAACAAATGTTTATTTTTAACTGTTAGAAATATTTCAAATACATGGAGATATAAAAGAATAATCAGAGAGAAGGAAAAAAAGAAAATTTGAAAAAGTTGGATAAAAGAAATGAAAGAAGATATTAAAAAAACGTTAAATAGAAAAAACATTTATTGACTGTTTCCTTCAATTTCAATTTCTTCCTCTTCGGGATTTTGATTATCAATCATCATTTCTTCATCCAACAATTGCTCATCAGGGATTAATGGCACAAAATCTAAAAAGAGCAAATTTCAATAGAATTAAAAAACTGTTTAACCATCGATCGATCGGAGAGAGGAACCGGCCATAGTTGTAATTGTAGTAGTAGTTTCAGTTGTTGCATCAACACCTCTTAACGTTGTTGTCCCAACACTACTTGTAGCTGTAGTTGAAACATTGGTTGACGATACAGAAGGTCCACTCCCTTCTTCAGTTGTTGCCAAAACCTCATTTGTAAAATAGCTCTGAATATCACTCAAGTGAGTCATGTGACGGAAAAGAGAATTCCGATCAGCTCTATAATCAGAACTATCGACCACTGTGGAATTATTACTCCCTCGTGCTTGCTCCAGAACAGACGAGGAATTGTTGGGTGATTGTTCCAAAGAATCAGCAACCAAACTTAATTGGGAATCGTTTGAACTCTGAAATAAAAAAATGCCAATATGTCAATTAAACACTAAAACCTCTCTACTGCTGTCATCCTCATTCGAAATATCATCTTGAAATTGAAGAGGACGTGATAGTAATCCAGAAGAAAGCGGTTCGCTAATAAGACCTCGTCCACTATGCAAACCACGAACAGCAGCCATCCGACGAAATTGTGCACGAGAACCACCCACACTAGATTCAGGCGAACCAGTAGCCGAGTAAGTACCCATTCCTCGAAGTCTACGTAACTGTTCATGTTGATTAGCAGCAGTTCGTCTTGTAACACGCGTTATTGGTGGGGGCACTCGAATAGCCCTTTCGAACGAGGAACGAGAAGTGTTCGTTGCATTAGTGGTAGCATTATTTGAAGTAGAACCAGAAGAACCATTTTTGAATGCTGCATTCGTAACGTTTTGTGGAGTAGTGAGACCACCCATAAGCGCAATCATCTGACATTAAAATATTAGTTTCGAGTTAAAAAATAAAAGAAAAATGTTTGTTGCTCAAAACACCAAAATGCTTTTACACATTCACTGTCAAATCGTTTACGACAGCGGGCACCATTCGAGCAACAAAATATAAACTACAGGAAACATCTTATTTAATTAATTTTGGCATTTTAATAAATCTGGACCTGTCCACTTACAGACTAGACCAAAACGAAATGCCTTTTTAAATAATAATTTTAAAAATTCATACTCTTTCTTTAGCAATAGTATCAGGATTATTTCCATTCATTGCTTGTCCATACTCACCCAACGCCTCCATTTGTCGATTTGTTTTTGATAATAGGTCACCGAGCTCGCGGTGAATTCTTGAATCTCCATAACTCTGAGAAAGTTTGATTAAATAAGAGAGAAAACAAATAACCTCCTTGAAGCGATTAAGCAACATAATTGCTTTATCATATTTATGTTGACGATCATATAGGCGGGAAAGCAATAAAAGTAGTTCCAAAGAATGACAATGTCCGTCCTGAACCATTTTTTCAAGAGTAACAACAGCCTGTTCTGTTCCAGACTAAAAATATATTTTCTTATGTGATAAAATTAAAAAAAACCTGTCCACCACCAGCAGGATCATCAGCCAACGATTGGGCAAAAAGGAAAAGTATTTGGTGATTTTGTTGGCCCACAAATCGCAAAGATGTTTTTGCCATTCTCTGCGCTTCGCCAAAGCGCTTCTTTAAATAAAAAAACAATTCAATATTAATTTTCTAAATTTACTTGAGCCATAAATATCTGAATATAAAGAGCATAAACAGCTGTATTGGTGCAGTCATTGTGCAACGCATCAGCTAGGACCATTTCCATCTCCTAAATTCAAACAGATACGCGTCATTTTAAACTCATAAAAATAACCTTGTAATGTCGCTTTGTATCAAAAAGCAGTTGAGCTTTAAGAAGCAATGCTTCACATCGTTGTCTTCCTCTCTTCTGAAAACATAGAATAATATTCTAAAATATATATTTTTATCTTACTTGAGCAAGTTGTTCAGCCCTTTGTGCAAACTGTCGTGCTTCCGCCATTCTATGAGATTGCCGAGCCGCCCAGCCATAAACAACAAACGCTTCGGCTCGACGCGGATTAGAATGAACCATCTTATGGGCCAATAAATCAAGTTCACGTTGAGTTTGTTGAGCATTATAATGCTAATTCAAAAAATAATTAGAAAAAATATTTAAACAAACAGTTCCTAAAAGAGAGGCAAACGTGTCCATTCCTTCAGCATTTGTAGAATCCAAAAGATGTGCCTGTTGATAACACGCCAAAGCTTTTTGTTGATCACCAGCTATTCGATAAAAGAGAGCTTGTTCCAAGAGAAATCTAAAAGAAAATTAAAATCTAGTGAAATTAAACAAATAAAATATACCGCAAATTCAGACCATTTAATTGGTTATCCAACATTTTTGCAGCATCCATATATTGTTTTTTAGCCTGAAGTTGTTTGGCTTCAGCCCAAATGCGAGAGGCTTCAGAAAACGTGCTGATAAAATCTTTCGACGATTCTACATTAGATGGGCTAGAACGTGTTTTTGAACTTGTCGAAAGAGGGGACTGTTGTGAAGGTTTAAGTGCCCCAGCAGTCAACAAATAACTCTGACAATAAATAGCCTCTGGCACATCTTTTACGATTGCTCTTAAATTAAATTTAGAAACAAAAGGAATAAAGGACAAACTTAAAATAATTGACAATTCGAGTGTTTGGCGCATCCGTTCGTTTGTTAAATAAAGATCGAGTACATTGAGACGGCGGTTTTGCAAGCAAATGACAAAGACGGGCCATAGCAAGCAACACTTTTGGAGTAAGTTCAGTTCGAGGAATAGATTCAAGGCAATGGAGAGCTTCCTCTTCCTGTTTATTTTGTAAGAGAATTTTGTGCATTAAAAAACGAATTTGAGCGGTGTTGAGTACATTTTCATAACGATTTTTTAATTTATGTTGACGAATATTTCCCAAATATATTAGGGCCATTTCATAACGCTGAAGAAAATAAAAGATAAAAAAATTAAATGTGGCTAAACAACAGTTTTCGTACTAGGCTCAAAATTTGAGAATTTATATGTCAATCGAAAATGCTCGTCGAGCTGAGACGAACAACACAAAATTAGCCCGCGGACTCAACCGCAAACTGAGATTTTTCACCCCAAAAATCACCCATAAATTTGACCATTTCGAGCCCTATATCTCGGCTCATAGTTGTTTTCGCTAATTTTGGTGCCATTCGACTCAGCTCGGTGAGCTCTTTCGATTGGCATATACTACCCCACCGCAGTCTCGACCTCGGCGCATTCCGTCGAGTGCCCGTCCCGTAAGAAATTTTTTAGGAAGTGAAATGATGTTATTCTGATAGAGCAGACTCAGGGCTACAAGGGGGGCATGGTATCACTTTCGAACAAATTGTTTTTGGGGTATGACAGATCGTCAAAGTTAAGTGGTCCGAAGGAGCATTATTTTAATGGAAAACGATTGACATATAAATTGTCAAATTTTGAGCCTAGTACCTAAACTGTAGTTAGGCCCAAAATGTTCTTTAAAAATACCCTTAAAGCCTGTGAAGTATTGTTCAATTCAGCGCAAGCATTTGCTAAACAACAAAGAAAGAAACCTTTTTGATCATCATCCAATTCATTATCTAAAATTTAACAAAAATAAAATACTTAAAATTAAAAAATTTAAACCATTTGCGAATATTTTTGAAGGTTCATTAGGTAAATGAATTTCTGCCAAAAGTGAAAGATCCTCATATAATTCAAGGTTGTGCAATTTCTCAACAGTTTTGAATAATTCAGACATTCGAAAAATCATTGTTGTTATAAATTAAAATAAACAAAAAAGCTAGATATAAGACATAAGGTTATAATATAAATGTTAGTTTCCAAAAATAATCTTTAACATAAAAGAAAAAATGAATCATAAAATAGGGTAATGTTCATTTAAGATCTAAGGTTAAAGTAATAAAGATTTGAAAGATTTAAAGAGTTCGATCCGAAAATTTTTCCAAAACTAATGTAAAAGGAAAAAATGATAAATTTTTTGCAAAATTTTTTAGTGTTTTTAGAAGCCAAATTTTGGGAATTTGGAGGGCCGGGCCATGTCTTGGCGAAATCAAAAAAGGGCAAAAACGGCACAAAATTCTTGCTAGAAAGGGCACATTCTCTATTGAATGAGCCCGGTCTCGACCGTTTTTAGGTTGGACACCTCGCAACCTTTCGTTGTTAGGTATTCGAAAAAGTTGCAAAAGTTAATCGCCGACTTTGAAAAATGTCAACGGTAGGGGACCAATTATATCTCGTCGTTTCAGTTTGAGGGTAATAACAGTCTTTCATTTTAAGCTTTGTGACTAATCCTTATATCATTCGATAGTTCTGAAAAATTTTTTAACGAGAATATTCAGATCTGATCATCTCCAAAAAATCTAGGCTGGAAAAGAACCCATAGACTGATTGGTGAGACTGAAACGTCTCCTGTCACACAGCAACATAACCTGCAACTAACAGCCGTTTCAGTGGCACTGAAATAAATATCTTTCTCTTTTTCTTTTCCACTCTATTTTTTTCGCGTGCTATTTTTTAAAGATTTGAGGTGCTAACTTCGACAAGCTTTATCTCGAAAAAAAACTTTGAAAAAAAAATTTCATCTTTGCCAAATCGTTAAACAAAGTCCTATCTTTGTTTTAAAACGAAATTTATTGAATTTTTAAATGTTTAAAAAAAGTTTTAAATGGCCGAATAACCCAACTTTAAAACTGAAAAATAAAGCGAAAAACTTATTTTAAAAAATGTATTTTAGTTTAAAATGCCATTAAATGTTAAATAAGAACGATATTATTAAGATCTAAATTTTATAAAATTCATTTTCCTTGAAAGGATTCGAACCTCTTGCATTTTTCGCTATCACTAACCAACTTAACCATACTCCCGCACTGAAAGGCTGGTTGCACCCTCTGCCTGTTTTATGTTGCTGTGTGTCAATTAATCAAATTAGCGCTTTATTTATCAAAATGTTTTTATTTATCAAGTTCGATTAAAGATCCCACCGTGAGATTTCTCAACCGGAACTTTTAACAAATTTACTTTCGTTAACTAAAGGCAATTAACAATAAGGTTGGTTTTTTTCTTTAAACATTTTCTTTACATTTTTTTCTTTCTAAGGATTGGATGTTTCCGTGGTTCCCGTTTGTTTTTCCTCAGGCTAGCAGGAGTAATCGAAGGACGCGAGAACATATTCCTGTTGGGGCGTTTATTGAAGTCCGTGTAGTTTCTAGTCCAGGATCTATTGGAAGCAGCGAATCCAGCTTTAAAGCTTCAGAAACTAGCGAATCTTCACGGTTACAAATTTGTTATAAAATGAGGTCTGCAGAGGATGTCAGGTATTTTCTAACAAATTTAAGTAAAAATCTCACGTCATTTTTTAGAACAAAAGCAAACGAAACAATTTTGATGCCAAATTCTAATTCACATTCAACAGAATTAATTGATAGCAGAAAGGCTTGTTCTTCAACAATTCCCAGAAAACCTGTAGATAATCTCAATGCTCAGTTTTTTTGTGAAAAATCAACGCGGCAAGATGACTTAAAAAAGAATATTTTTGAAAGACAATCATCTCTAAATGATGAAAATAAGCAAGAGACTACAAATGATGAAAATAAAGAATCATCCAAGAAAGTAGGCGGTTATACCAGGCCAAAAACAAGTAAGCGCTATGATTTTTATTGAAGTTTGACTAATTGTAAGGTCTAGAATTTTACGGAATTTTGGTAAACCAAGGATTTGGCCCTCCTTTTCTTCCCCAATTTCTTTCCCTTATGTGTAGAAATAAAAGATTTTTTTGCAATGTGTCTAATTATTAGAGCTGTCCAACATTTAAAATTTTCCAAGACTCGAAACCAAGACTACACCCCAAAACCAAGGTCGAAAAAACCCAAGAAAAGACTTGAGCCAAGACTTAAGACCAAGTCTTGAACAGCTCTACTAATTATACACGAGGAAAGTCTGACCATTCTGAACATATAAGGGAAAAACTCGGAGGAAATAATGGGGGCCCTAATCCTTGGCTTACTTCAAAATTTATTGGGGATTTAATAGCATTTAATTAATGTTAGATTTAATAAAAATATAATTTCAATTTAGCAATCAAAATAATTCATCCACCCGGAGGAAAATCTTCTCTATTTTGGTAAAAATGGATGTTTTGTAAAATATTTAGGAGATGTGCAAGAAGGGAAGGCATTATTTTAAAAATAAATATTTATTTTTCAACTTTGAATCTATTCAAAATTTTATATTTTTGAATCTATTTTTTAAATTGTTGTGTTTTCTTAAAACTTTTCTGATCTCCATTCTTTTTTATTCAACTTTCCGCTTCGCTCACTTCAAGTAATTATTTAGATAGTTTTGTCTTTATTGTGATGTGAATTTTGACAGCTTCTATTTTTTTTTTAAAATCACTTTTTTGTGTGTAGATCCATTCTTAAAATAAGTCAAAAAATTTTTTTCAGAAAAAATTTTTTTCAAAAATTTTCTTTAATCGTTTACTTATTTCATTATATATTTCATATCTCCTTTTTTACATAATAATCTTTAATAACCCACGAATCTGTTTCTTTTATTTGATGGAAGGAACTTATAATTAAAATATTTCCTTTCATTTCTTGCCGTCTTTTGAATGATAAAAATTTTTTTTGGATAATTTTGAATATTTATTAACGATTAAAATATCATGAGATACCTAAAAATTATGAAAGACTGGGGGAGGGAATCTAGGCTGGTTTGAAGAATTTTTTAAAATTTATCAAGTCAAAAGCACTCGAAAATTGTTTTGCTCATAAGTCTACAAAACAAAAATACAAGTGGGTATTTTTATTGGTTTATAAATTCTTTTTGCTATACCCATATCTGGCATTTTCTCAAACATTAAAAGTCTGCTGGTTCGGGCCACTTTGACCTCCTTTAAGTAAACCAAAAATGAGCAAGTTAAAGCTTTGACCATTCTATTTCGTAGTATTTGTGTCAGTGGGTTGGCAGAAAGAAATAAGCAAAGAAGAGAAAAATAGGAAATCAATGGGTATATGCCGCTATTCTTTTTTGTTATTGCCACCTTTTTTAAGTAAATTTCTTTTTAAAAAATATATGCATCATTTTTTGCTTTAACAGAATTTTTCGTGTATTTATTATTTTTAGCTAATCTACTAGATATATTTTTTTAATAAATGCTTTTTCAATGATGATTCTCTCTAATAATTCAACGTCCAATTCTGGCAATTATCCATCTACTTTAATGAATGTTAGTGGAGTCCAACCACAAAATCCTCCAAATATAGCACCAAATCCATGGGTTATAACTGCACAAGAGCATAGACAGAATGAAGGCCAGTTTGTTGTGTTACGACCAATTGGTGGGATGATTTATGGTGAGCAAGCAAGACCGTTCTTTCTAAAATCTGGACTTTCGGCTTCGGCTCTTGCTCAGGTTTTAATTCGTAAATTGTTTTATAAAATCCTTTTTTTGTTTACATTTTAACTAACTATCAACAAATATTTTTAGATTTGGCAGCTATCGGATTTGAACAAAGATGGCAAACTTGACAGGCTTGAATTTTCAATTGCTATGAAGTTGATCCGTAACTGTCTAGCTGGTTTGCAATTACCATCTGTACTTCCGGATAGTATGCGCCAAATTGTTGGTGATATTCCTCAGACTGGTCAGTTCCAATTTAATGGTGTTGAGAATGCCGTGCCGGCAATGCAGCAACCGCAAATGCCCCCAAGACCGATGTCAACTTACGGCATTTCTACTAGTTATCGACCGTCGCCTCCTTCGGGCAGTTATTCCGCAGGTTTTGACCTTTAACTAATAAGCCGAGATTATTTTTAAGCGCAAACGCCAACAATGCCTCCTGCTACTTTTGGTGCTGGCTTACCATTCCATATGGGAACAAAGGAGATGGGAGATTGGAGCTTACCTCAACCTTTGAAGCTACGCTTTTGCCAACAATTTAATCAATTAGATCGGAGCAGAATTGGCCTTCTTACTGGACAACAGGCGCGTGGTGTTTTGGCTGAAAGTTCGTTGCCGACTCACGTTCTTGCTCAAATTTGGAACATGTCCGATGTTAACAAGGATGGTTGTTTGGGTATTGAAGAATTTTGCACAGCACAATTTCTTATTGAAATGGTTAAGGTTTGTGAACTTAAAATTATTGCTACTAAATTTACTAAAATTTTAGTCCGGTTATGCACTCCCATCTAAATTGCCCAATGAACTCTACGCTTTTTGCAGTAGGAGTAAAACTGTTTCGCCTTCAACGGTCCTTACTCAAAATGATCCTGATGCTCCACCACCACAAAAAGCTGGCAGCGGTGGGGGTCATTTTAAAACTTTTGAAGACAAGCGAAGAGATAATCTTGATAAAGGCCAAGCAGAGCTTGATAGGCGCAGGCAAATACTTAGAGCTGAGGTGATTTGACAATACAAGAAGAATAAAGAATCCATTTTTAATTTAAGGAAGAACGTCGTCGTGCTGAAATTGAGCGACGTGAACGCGAGGAAGCGGAACGGAAAGAGCGGGAGAGACAAGAGTATGAACGTCGTCGGGAGGCAGAATTGGAAATCCAAAGAAGAAGGGAATTGGAACTGGAAAAGGAGAGGGCGGCAGAGGAGGAACGAATGAAAGCACAGCGGGAAGAAGCTCGACGTAGACTTGAAATTGAGCGTATTAAGGAATTGGAAAAAATTCGAGTTCGTGATTTGGAGGTAATTTAACTAGTTATTTCGTAAAACAATTTTAAATTTTAGAATCAATTAGATGCTGAAACAGAAAAAGCAACTCAGATTCAGCAAAGGCATCGAACTATTTCCTTTCAGATTCAAGCGTTAGATGAGCGTTCTCAGCAGCTTAACGGTGATGTTACAGGAGTACGTGATAAAATACTGGAGATAACTCAAGAGATTGAAGGAATGAGAGAATTACGTGACGAAAAATGCGCCAAGATTCAAGAATTGGAGCGTAAGACTAAAGAGGTTATTTTTGTTTTTTCTTCAAAATTTTAATAAATTTTATTTAAGCTGACAGTTCAGAGTGAACGATTTAGTCATGAGAATCTACAATTACAGGCAGAATGTCAACGTTATCTTGGAAAGAGTAATGAAATTGATTCTATTCAAAAGGAATCTACTTCCGTTGAGGAAGAAATAAAACGGTTGGAAGATGAGACTCAAGCATTGGGAGTTCGGACGGTTAACCAAGAAAAGCTTGTACTTGAGGTAGGAGAATATTTTTTTATTAATCAGAAACCAAATTTAAAGAAACGACCTGATTTTGAGAAAAGTTGTGCCGATTTTGAGAGTCTCCATCTTGAGCACAAAACATTACTTGCTCGTTACAACAAAGTCCGTGTGGAAAAATATCCGGAAACTCAAATACAACCACCATTTGCTACCCCAAAACATTATGAAGTACCTCCAGATTCAGCACGAGAGCGGAAAGCATCCAAGGATAGTAACGCTTCTGGATTTGATGATGACTTTGTGTCTGTTTTTGGAAACGCTGCAACCACTTCTAAAACAGGCGAAAAACAAAATATGCTTGATGGACATGTTCAAAATTTGCAACATGGTGAGTGACCTCTAGAGAGCAAACACCATCATACTATTTTAATTTTAGACAATGCCGGGAAGTCGTCTATTCAGCAAAGACAAGACAGCATTCCTGGAGCACAACAAGACGCTTCGCATATTTTATTGTCAGCCACTACCGCTGGACTTAAGACAATTAAATACAAGGCGCTTTATGAATTTGTTGCTCGATCTAATGACGAATTATCATTGCAACCGGGAGATATTATTCTTGTTTTTGAGGGATATCAATCTGAACCTGGATGGCTCGGTTAGAGAATATTTTTTATAATTAATATTTTTCTTTAAATTTTAGCCGGTCAAATTCGTGATAAAGTTGGGTGGTTTCCAGCTGCTTTTGCTGAACCAGTCAATATTCAATTACCAGCTAATTCAGCCCTTAAAAAAGGTAACGCTTTATCTGGCTCGCCTTCAACTGAGCCATTGGCCAGCATCCAAGAAGAGGGAAGTGAGTTTACAAGTGTTGTAGCATCGTCGGATAAACAACAAGCAGCTCTTTTTACAGCAGATTTCACAGCAGGTTATTGTCTTAATATATTAAAGAAAGCATTTTTTTAGCTTTCTCAAAGAGCATTTCTCTCACTGATACAACAAATGGTGGAGTTGCGGCTGTTAATTCTTTACTTAGTACAAGTCATTCAACTAACGCCTCTTTTGCATCTTTTTCTGCTGGTGCTTGTTATGATCTCCCACCATGTGATGAAAAGTCGAATAATAAATCTTTGCCTATTTATGAAATGCCGCCATCGGACGAGCCAGTCAAAGGAGGGGATATCAATATTTTGGGTACTGGTATAGCTCTTTACCAATGGAAAGCTCGAAACGAACAGGAAATGACTTTTGGACGTGGTGATATAATCGAAGTTTTAGAGCAAGGAGAACTTCGATGGCGGGGACGGCTTCAAAAGAATAAGTTGGTTTTGAAAATTGTCGTTAAAATATTTTTTGTTTTTCAGGCAAATAACTGGCTGGTTCCCAAAGAGTTACATTAAACTCGGCGCTACATCTCTTTCTGCAATAGGAGGGAACGGTGTGATGACAACCAATTCGAAAATTCCTAATCAACAAATAAATGCGGAAAATGTCGATAACGTTACTGGAAAAATGGCAAATTCAGCTATAGATGGAAAGTCTAGTGGTGAATGGTTTATTGTATGTAATTTTGAAAAAAATATTGGGGTTTAATTGTAATTTCAGGCTTTATATCAATTTGATGCTGTTGAGCCAACAGACCTTTCATTGAAAGCTGGTGATCGTATCTGGGTCACTGATCAACGAGAACAATGGTGGCGGGGTACTTGTGAAGGTCGAACAGGAATTTTCCCAGCAAATTACGTACAGAAGGTCTCTGCTGCTACTGAAACAACACCAATAGGTAATTACTTCAAAAAAATTTTTTTTTGAATTCTCTTTTAATTTTTAAGTGAATTCTGTCAAAGAAAAACAAACTGTCGGAAGAGCGATTGCTGCTTTTGAAGCAACTGCTTCAAATCAGATTTCTTTACATTTGGGCGATATTGTTCGTGTTCATCAAATAACACCAGGTTTGTGTTTCTCTTAAAATAATTATAACGGATTTCTTAAAAAGGTGGTTGGTGGGAAGGAGAATTGGAAAGAAATGGTGAAAAGCATGTTGGCTGGTTCCCTGGTAATTATTTGCAAGTATGTTTTTTGTTAGTAAATTATTTTTGGCTCTACTGCAATTTATGAGTCCAATCAACTTTGAGTCCATTCAAGCAATAATTTGATTTTTCGTGGTGTTGCAAAGTTGGAGTATGGTTCCACAACATTTCTTTATGTTCGGGACATACGCCCACTCGGTCTTGGACCATTCCCTACCCTATTCCTCGAAATTTCGGAAAGCTAATTGGACTCATAAACTGCAACAGAGCCCTATTTTTAGGTAATCTCGGAACATAAAAACGATTCGGAAACAAAATCAATTGCTATAGCCGCCTTTGACTACCAAGCACAACATAATGATGAGCTTTCCTTCAAAGCTGGTGATGTGATTGAAGTACTAGATAATTCAGATGCCCAATGGTGGAGGGGACGGAAACAAGGTGATGAGCAACAACAACAACAGTTGCTTCTTTTTCCGGCTAATTTTGTACAACTTCGATGATCACAACACACATATATATTAATTATTTTATACACAGAAATTTTTATTTAAAAAAATTAGAGACTGAAAAACTTAATAAGAATAATATATTTTTAATTCCATTATTACTAACGAAAATGACGCAAATATTCCTTAATTTGACTTAATCGTTTAAAATATTGTCACGTTTTTTGTAATATAATAAGTTTTTTATATTTTGTTAATAATCGAGAATATTGCAAATAATTTTGTTGTAAAATGTTTTTTTTAGTCATCAAGAAGGAGAGTAAATTTTGTGAATAGTTTTTTGCTGTTCATTCCCTCTTGACATTTTTTTGCAAAATTAAAAAAAAAGGAAGAAAATTGTTTGTTTAATATCTTTGGAGAACCAAAGATTATCGAGAGGGTTGGTAAACGTGATTTTTTCTAATTGTGTTTCTGTCGGGTACACCCCGATGTACCGCGAGCCCAATGTACCGCCGAGCTATATTTTTGTTCGAAATTGTCGAATCCGTGGCGCCCTAGTATGGTTCGATTCAGAATGTCAAGACGCATCGAACCATACCAGGGCGCCGCGGATTCGACAATTTTGGACAAAGTTATAGCTCGGCGGTACATTGGGCTCGCGGTACACTGGCCTGCTCCCGTTTCTGTCAGCCCTCCTTGTTGAGTACAACTTAAGGGAGTTCTCTGTTGATTTTTCGAGAAAAAAGTTTCTTTTTCTGTTTTGTTTGTCGCGTGCTTTTTCAAGTTGAGGGGTATTTCTTGAAATGTCACGTGGTTTTTGTGTCTAGGTGAAAGAAAACTAATGATCATCATAAGTTATATAAATTTTTGGAAGGAAATCTCATTATTAATTTTTCTTAAAATTATAAACAAGGAAAGACCATCCCCATTTTGTCGTCATTAGCTTTTGTTCTTTCCCCGTGAATCCTAAATAACTAGACACCATTTGATAATTAAAAAGACTGATCATCATTAATTTGTTTTCGTTTAATAAAAGTTATTTTGACTCCCCTCTATCTAACGTATAAAAGCCCGATTTCTCAACCAATTTAAAACATTTTTGTAAAATAGTTCAAAGTTAATAGTACACTTATTTTTTGTTATTTTTGGTCGTGTTTGTTACTTCTTTTTGATTTATTTTTAATTCAAGAATTTTAATTATTTAGTGAAAATGTTGCGTATCTCGACAGCGACATCGAGAATTCTTAAATCTCCAAATTTTGTTCCAGCGGCCTTCTATTCTGCAGCTACCTTAGATCCTCATGAGCAAATTAAAGATGCAGATAAGCCAATGAGTCAACAAATGAATCCTTCATTCTATAAAGTAATTTTTCTTGAAATTTTTTTTCAATTTAAAAAAATTTTTTTAGATGGTCGATCATTATTTCGATAGGGGTGCTGCAGTTATTGAGCCTAAGCTTGTTGATGAATTCCATTCGCAAGGAAAATCTTTGGAGGAGAAAAAGAATTTTGTTCGGGGAATTCTTTCGGCTATTAAGCCTGTTAATAAGGTTTTTTAGAAAATTTTTTTTAAAGTTTTTGAAATTTAAAGGTTCTTCATGTTGCATTTCCCATTCGACGTGATAATGGAAATTATGAAATTATTGAAGCTTGGAGAGCACATCATTCAGGTTATTCTCTGAAATATTCTAGAAAAATTTTTTAACTAAATAGAGCATCGAACACCAACAAAAGGAGGAATTAGATACTCCTCAGATGTTTGTGAGGATGAGGTAAAAGCCCTCTCTGCTTTGATGACTTATAAGTGTGCAGTTGTGGATGTTCCTTTTGGTGGGGCGAAGGGAGGTGTCAAAATCGATCCTCGCAAATATTCTGAATATGAGGTTTGTTTTTAAAAGAGATTTTAAGGGGGCTAATTTTGGTTCCAAAATTTTTGAGAATGTCAAAGACATTATTTTAGAAAACTGTATGAGGTCTTTTGCTGTGCCACACATTCATGCGTACATAATTTCAATTATAAAAATTTTTTAGATTGAAAAGATTACCCGACGTATTGCTATTGAATTCTCCAAAAAAGGCTTTCTAGGCCCAGGAATTGATGTCCCTGCACCAGATATGGGTACAGGGGAACGAGAAATGGCGTGGTTTGCAGATACTTATCATCAAACTACTGGACATTTGGATAAAGATTCCTCTGCCTGCATAACTGGTATCTCAATTTTAAATATTTTAGAGACATTTACTTATGGTTTGAACTGTAAGTGCACATGGTTCAAATTAATAAAAATGTCAAAATTAAATTATTTTATAAGTTAAATACAATCGGACTTCACTTGTAAGTACACTCTTGAGTATGAAAAAAATTTAGAGAGATTGAACTAAATTAGAGAGAAAAATCCTAAAATGGAGTGTGCTTACAAACGGGGTCTGATTATATTTTTCTTTCTTCGCTTAAAATAATTTATTTTTTTTTGTTTTAATTAATAAAACAATAAAAATATTTTGAGCGACACAATTTTTATTTGAGATTTTTTTTTCTTTTTAAAATTCCTTTTTTCTAAAGGTAAACCAATTGTTGCGGGTGGTATTCATGGCCGAATTTCTGCAACTGGCCGGGGTATTTGGAAAGGATTGGCTGTATTCATAAATGATACAGAATATATGGGAAAGATTGGTTTAACTACTGGATTTAAGGACAAAACATTTATTGTTCAAGGATTTGGTTATTTTTATCTTTAATTTTATTTTTAAATTTAATTTTTTTAGGTAATGTTGGTCTCCATACTCATCGTTATTTACATAGAGATGGAGCTAAATGGTATTCTTTTTTAGAAAATTAATCTAGACCAGTGATGGGACGGGCTGACTGAGATAAAAGTCGTGCCGGGTTAAGGGCTGATTTTCAAAATTCTCTTAGTGTCGAGTTCTCTTAGGGGTCGAGTTTCGGGTCGAAAGTCCGTCCGACCCATTCCTGGTCTACCGAACCTCATTATTAGGTATAGTCACTAATAGATACACAGTTTAATTAAAATCTGGTTACCCATTGGACTGACAAAATAAGCAATACCCTGTTTATTTAGATACACCTCATTTAAGATTAAAATTTTTTTTCACAAAGGGTAGGGATATCTAGTAATAGTAAGAGGTTTGCCTGTTTTTCACGCTCTAAAAACTATATTTTGACATTTTTTAAAAATTGTCTTTAAGTATTGGTGTTCAAGAATATGATTGCTCAATTTATAATCCAAATGGAATTCATCCAAAAGAATTGGAAGATTGGACAATTGCAAATGGAACAATTAGAGGATTTCCTGGAGCAAAATCTTTTGAGCCGTTTACGGATTTGATGTTTGAGAAATGTGATATTCTTGTGCCAGCTGCTTGTGAGAAAACTATTCATTTGGGGAATGCACACAGAATTCAAGCAAAGGTTTTTTAAAATTTAATTTAATAAAGGGGGGAGTTGTAGAAAGAGGAGGTTTTACATCAGAATGAATGAAATTTGTTCATTAAATGGTTGTGGTTAAGTGGTTTAGGTGGAAAATTTCCAATAAAAAAGTTTTCCGATAAATTTGCCGGGTGATGCAAAAACCTGTCTTAATAAGTAATGAAGACATATCGAGATTGGAATTCCTCGTTCCTGACGGCATTTTTTTATTCAAAAATTTTTCAAACTTAAACTGTTTAGATTGTTGCTGAAGCAGCTAATGGGCCAACAACACCTGCTGCTGATCGTGTTCTTCTGGAACGTGAAAATTGTCTAATAGTCCCAGATATGTTTATCAACAGCGGTGGTGTTACTGTCTCATTTTTTGAGTGGCTCAAAAATTTGAATCACGTCAGCTATGGACGATTGACATTTAAGTATGAACATGACTCCAATTATTTGTTGTTAGGTAACTTTATTTTAATAGTTTTTGAGTAAAACTAGTTAATAATTTAAGATTCTGTTCAGAAGTCTTTAGAGAAAGCACTTGGTCGTGAGATTCCAATTATGCCGTCAGAATTTTTTAAGGCTAGAATTCACGGTGCAAGTGAGAAGGATATCGTTCATTCGGTAAATAACGTTAATGTTTTTTACTAGAATAAAATTTCAAATTTTAGGGTCTTGAATACACGATGAATCGATCGGCATTCAAAATTATAGAGACGGCTAAGAAATATGGACTAGGTTTGGATTTGCGCACTGCGGCATATGCTAATGCTATTGAGAAAGTTTATCAAACTTATCGGATCTCAGGCTTTGCTCTAACCTAAAAACAGCAATAATGGAGTTTGTTGGGATGAAATTATGGACGAGTGAAGAAATATTCTATATACGCTAGGTTCCCCCTCCCTTCTAATACGTGTGTTTTCTCTAAATCTTTTTTTGTTGTTTCATTCCTTTCTTTTGCCTAAAAATAATCTTTTAATACTATAAAACCCTTTAATCGAAATATATTTTCTTATACACTCGGTGTTTTTTAAATATCTTGTTTTATTGTCCTGTAGAATCTAAAGAGGATTGTTTGAGAGGTAATTCAAAAAATTTCTATTTGTGAATCTATTCTTAACGATAAACGTTTGAAATATTTTTTTGATTTTTTATCCCAAAAAAGGTTAACAATAACAAAAAAAAGCTCGAGTTCACAAAATGTCAATATGTGAAGCAGAGGTCGATCGGAAATGATGAGGGTGCGAAATCGGAATTCCAATCAACCTCTGATGCAAAGCTCGTAACAAAAAAATGAGTTAACAAATACCTAAAACTGCCAATTATGCCCAGCATGATTCAATGCATCTCTCACCCATTTGGGCACATTCCCCATTTCTTTGTATTGTTCTTGTAAAAATTCAGACAAAAATTCATTTAACCTATTCTCATTTATTGCTTTTCTTAAACGTCGCATTAAATCCATGTGATGAAAGAGATTGTGAATGGATATCAAATGACAGGCTACTGTTTCCTTAATTTATAATTTGTGAAATTTAAAATTATCTTCTTACATGTCCAATAGTTGCATTAAGAAAAGCACGAGAATAACCTTTTTTGCAGGTCTGACATTTACATTCTTCGTCAATAGGCCGTAGATCAGTCTTAAAACGTGCCTGGTTCAAATGAAGATCTCCTTCCCTCCTAGTTATAGCTGTCCCAAATCTTGCCGTTCTGGTAGGATAAACACAGTCAAACATATCTGCACCCAATGCCTGAAATAAAAAATAATTCCCAAATAGTTAAAATAAAAAATACCGATGCAACAACTAAATCAACTGACCATCCAACCCCCATTACATAACGAGGTAAATGTGGCTGAAACAAAAAATTCCTTTGAAAGTCTAACAAAAAACTAACGGGAATAAGTTCACAACATCTTGCAACAACCTTCCAAAACGTATCCTTTGCCTCACCACCACTTAGCCCTCCAATAGCAATCCCTAATTTTGCTCTAGGTACCATTTCTTTAACACATTCCTCTCTCAATCTTATATCAAGCCCTCCTTGTACAATTGGGAATAATGCACATTCAGATTGTCGTTTTTGTGCATTAGTACACCTATCTAGCCATCTAACTGATCGTCTCATTGCTTCCTCAACTATTGGACCTTCCGTCAAAGATGGAATGACATGATCTAATTGCATCATTATATCAGAACCAAATGCCTCCTTTTTAATAAAATAAATATATTGCTCAAAAAACTAGATTTACTTGAATTTCCACACAATATTCAGGTGTAAGCATTGTCATTTCTTTTGTGTGTGGCGACTCAAAATTGACTCCCTCCTCGGTAATTTCCATCAACTTACTAAGGGAGACCATTTGAAAACCACCAGAATCTGTTAAAATAGGTCTAGGCCAATGCATGAATTT